TCTCTGTCTCTGTGTGTCTCTCTCTGTCTCTGTCTCTGTTTCTCTGTATCTCTGTCTCTGTGTGTCTCTCTCTGTCTCTGTCTCTGTTTCTCTGTCTGTATCTCTGTCTCTGTGTGTGTGTGTCTCCAAAAAGTTTCTTCCAGTATCCAGATTTGAATGCTTGGGCTCATGAGAGTATCTCGAAATCCACGGGGCCATCTTGGTCCCCGCTGGCCTGTAGACCCTGAGCCGGTGTGGGAGGGGAGACCCCCCCACAAAGCTTTGCGTGAAGTCTATGGGCTTGCGGGGGATGGGGGGGCCATCAGGTCCTCCTGGGCCCCTCCCCCACACCCCACGCTGACAGGAGGGGGTGTCATGTGACTTCTATGGATATGGGGGGGACCCCTGTGCTGGGAAGGACAGGGGGAAGAAATGCGGCAGACACGGGCCCGGGCGGGGGGCACACTCAGCGTCTGGACCCTTTCACCGTTCATTCGTGCAAGCCAGCAAGGGCCCCCCAAAAGGCAGCTGGGCTCTGGTTCCGGTGTTCCGCTTCGCAGCTCCTGGCCGGTAGGAAGAGGTGGAGGCCAAGTTCTGGGTTCGAGTCTGGTCGGAGCCAGGTTCCCGCCCTCCCCCCCACCGCAGTACCTTAGGGGACTTTCTCCCACCAACCCTTGGGGCTGACGCTTCCTAAACAGGGAGAGTGGGGGGGGGTCTCTCCAGCCCTGGATGGAGCGCGCCCCCCCATAAAAGCCCCCGTCGACGGGGAGACGAGGAGGGGGGAGAGAAGATGGTGCTCCCCACCAGACAAAAGGAAGAGCGGCAGACCAGGCCGCGGGAAGGGGGGGCACGAGTCTCCCCAGGAGGGCCAGGCAGCTCCCCAAGCCTTGCTGGGGGGGGGGCTGTGTGCAGCAGCTGATCACAGCTGTCCCCAAAGCTCCGTGTGACATCCGAGTGCAAAGCCAGGCCAAGCCACCGCAGCAAGGGCCGGCGGGGAGAGACGTGGCCCGGGACAGAGATTCCCCGCCAGGCCCCGGGACCGAGATTCGGCTGCGCGGAGAAAGTGGATCTGGGTGGGGGGAGGCTGGGCCCAGAGAAGACCCCCATGATGGGAGGCCCTGTCTCCCCCAAACCTTCAGAAAAGGGGTGCACCCCCTGCCCCTTACCAAGGGGGCTCCGGCTCCCCAGGCTCAGCGGCCAGGCCAGGTCTCTGCGCGCTGGCTGGCTCTGTCTACCGGGGAACAGCTGCTCGAGACCTGGGTATGAGAACCGCAGCCTCCCTCCCCCGCCAGCCTGCAAGGAATCCATACAAAATCGAATTCTGCTTCCAGAACTTACCACGGCTTAAAAAAAAAATCTCATGGCCCTTCCCTGAGGTCCCAAAATATGTTTTGAATCTACTAGGCACAGCCATCTAACTGAAGCTGGGGGGGGGGGACGGGGAACAAATGCCCAGGTCTTTCCAGCAAGTTCTATTTGGAAACACCACCACGTGGGCGAAGTGAAAGGCGGCCTCTGGCAGGTACTAGAGAGAAAACAGACATGGCAGGAAACGCATCGTGGATCTGTGGACTTCACTCTATTCCTCTTTCTAAAGCTAGCTTTAAAAATAAAGACAATTATAGTCTACAGTAAGGAATAAATATATATGCATATATATGATATGTATATTGACGTGAAAATGACAGAGAGCATGCTTCTTCCCTGCTGGGAACAATGCACTGATATTCTACTCTAATTCTATTCTATTCTATTGCATTCTATTCTATTCTATTCCTATTCTATTCTATGCTGTTCTATTGCATTCCATTCTATTCTATTCCTATTCTATTGCATTCTATTCTTTTCTGTTCTATCCATTCCATTCCTTTCCATTCTATTCTATTCTATTGCATTCTATTCTATTCCTATTCTATTGCGTTCTATTCTTTTCTATTGCATTCCATTCCTTTCCATTCTATTCTACTGCATTCTATTCTATTCTACTGCATTCTATTCTATTCTACTGCATTCTATTCTTTTCCATTCTATTCTATTCTTTCTAGTCCTCTACCCACGGTCCCTCTGAAGAGATTCTACCATCCACTAATGAACCGTGACTCATCATCGAAGCACACAGATTGCTGTAAGCCGCCAAGCAAATAATTAATTGGCTGTTTGCACGCCAATGTAGGTTCAGATTTCATAACTTTCTTTTTTTTTCCAAGTGTCCTAAGAAGTCAGGCTTATCAAATGTGCTCACCGAGTCACCCGAAAACACTCATTAGGAAGAGGAAGGCGATTGGCCCGCAGAATAGAAATATTCGTCACCGTACCAACCATCATCTGTTTGGTTTCTGAGCTCAGGGCTCGGAACGGGGCGGGGGGGAAGGGGTGGATGGGGCTTTGGGGTCGGCAGGTGGGGGCACGGCTTCCGCCGCGTTCTCTGCCTGGGTTGTGTTGTGGCTGTCATTTGAGCCTTAAATGCCCCCTCCTCACACAAATCCCCTGTGCACCGAGGCTTCCTCCTTCGGGAAGTGGTGACTTTTAAAAGGAGGAGCTTAAGGAGAGGTCTTTCGGTTATTGGAGCGGGGAGGAGAAGGGAACAGGTTATGTCCTTGAAGGGGATGGTGGAACTCCAGTCCCTTCCTCTGGCTTCCAGGAAACATAGAACGTCAGGGATAGGTGACATTCCACAGGCCCCAGAAGAACAGGACCCATCGACCAACCGAGAGCACAAAGCCCCACCCTACCAGGCGCCCAAAGTAAACCTTTCCTCTCCCTCAGGAGGTCTTCACGGCGTGACTCCCTCTCCCGATACCCAAGGGTTCCTCATCTTCCACGGAGGCCGGGGCCCGGGGCGGGGTGCCAGGGCAAAGAACCCCACTCCCTGATCCCGAATATCGGGGGAACCCCATAACTACCGCTCCTACGCTGTGCTGGAGATCCCGAAGGATTTCAGATTCTGCCCCTTTCCCACCCCACCCCCAGACTGTGGGATTTTTTTTTTTTTTTGGTCAGTCGTGGGGTTTGAACTCAGGGCCTGGGCACGGTCCCTCCGTTCTTCAGCTCAAGGCGGGCGCTCTACCACGTGAGCCACAGCGCCACTTCCAGTTTTCTGGTGGTTCCGGGGAGATCAGAGTCTCACAGACTTTCCTGCCCAGGGCTGGCTTTGAACCCTGATCCTCAGATCTCAGCCTCCCGAGTAGCTGGGATGACAGGTGGGAGCCACCAGTGCCAGGCTGTGGGATATTTTGTATCGCGAGACACCTAGCATACAGGACTCAAACAAAACACAGAACTCACACGTGGTCTCAAACGTACCGTGTACACACATGCCCGAGTTCACTGTCTCTGACAGACAGAATCATCCTGTGCCTGTAGCCAGGCTGACTAGTGTTCGATTTGTTTGCTTGGTTTTCTACTTGTGACATTTTGTGGCCCGGGCTGAAATCATTTCTGACGGAAGGGAGTTTTCAGAGTTTGGGTTTTTGGATGAAGGATGCCGACATTGGCATGAAGGATAATGAAGGAAACTAATTTTCTCCAAAGGTGATTTGTGAACTACACTTCTTCTGTTCAAGGAGACGAGGGCTCTGGGGCATGTGAATATCAAACCCTTCCCAAGCCAGAAAACCCCACACAATTGGGGGTCATATCAGCACAAGGGCTTCTCTCAGGACCCATAGCCGGGTAAGTTTGGGCGGCCAGTTTTGTTTTGTGTTTGTCAGTCCTGGGGCTTGAACTCTGGACCTGGGCCCTATTCCCTAGCTCCTTTTGCTCAAGGCTGGCGCTCTACCGCTTTGAGCCACAGCGCCACTTCCGGTTTCCTGATGGTTCCTTGGAGATCAGAGTCTCACGGACTTTCCCTCCCCAGGCTGGCTTTGAACCGTGATTCCTCAGACCTCAGCTTCTTGAGGAGCTGGGATGGCAAGTGTGGCTGTTACATTTTTTTTTCCTTTTAAGCAGAAAAGAAATGGTGGGAGATCCTTTATAACCAAGCCCTAGGTTTTGTAGATGGAAACACAAAGGTAGGATCTGAGGGCCCACATGACCTACCATCACTTTTGCCTTCATTTCCAGCCTCTACCACCCAGAACCCACAGTGGGCAAACAAAGAGCAGAAACAGCGCATTCGGGGAGCGGGGGTGGGGGGCGCTGGTCACCAGCCCACCACCCCCAGATCACGACTTTTTTCTTTGGAGATGAAGTGTTAGAAATCTATAAAGGATCGGTTGGTTCACTCATGCCATCAACAGTGACCCAGAGGCCAGATCTTCACCCACCGTGGGATTGAATGAATGCCACCGCTCCCCCCGGCAAGATTTCCCCCGTCCCGGCTGAGATCACTTCAAAACTCCCTGCCGAAACCGGCCGTTATCAAAAGAAAACAGACCGGCCAATTAGGGCACTAATGAGAACCAGGCCAAGATGGTGGTTGGTAAAGATCTAAAGATGGGGGCGCAGGCCACACCTGGAAAAGGTGACTTGGCTCCCTACGGAGTCAGAGCCAGGGAGAGTCTTCAAAGACTTTTCACCGGACCATCAGATATGGAACTACTTAGTCCACGGCAGCAAATAAAATACAGAGTCTGGCAGGAGCCTCCTGAATACATGCTTGAGGGTGGTGAACACCTTGTTTGGACGGTGTAATTCCCCAGCTCTCCCGGCTGGTCCTGCCCTGGGGGGAGGCAGGTGCCACGCCACTGTCCATTCTCCACAACATGGCGGCCCTCGTCCAGCGGTTTGCAAAGGACACCCGGAACTCAACATTGAGGGACACTCCGTGGAGTGGCTCAGTTAGGAAGACTTCCAGAGCTAGAGTTAATGCCCTCCGACTCCAAAACATGCTACCTGTGTATCTCTGGATCTGAGTTAATGCCCTCCGACTCCAAAACATGCTACCTGTGTATCTCTGGATCTCGGGTAGGGAGCTGGGAGCCGCCGCCTAATGTTCACTGCTAGTTTCATAAAGATGCCGGGCTAGAGCTCAAGGCCTCGGTTTTAGTGGACTCGTTATCTCCAGGGGTCAGAAGAAAAAGGGGTCATCGGCTGCCCAACACTACAGAAAACCAGGACAGACTTCATTTCCCACGGTAGGAGCAATTATACACACCGACTCGGGCTGTCCAGTTAACTGAGGTTCCCACAATGCTCCTCTACAGTCCCTTGTTCATTCTCAACCAATCCGCATTCCGTCCATCCATCCATCATCCATCTATCTACCCATCCATCCATCCACCCACCCATCCATCCATCCATCATCCATTTATCCATCTCCTCACCCAGCCAGCCATCCACCCATCCATCATTCATCCATCATCCATCTACCCATCCATCCACCATCCACCCATCCATCATTCATCCATCTACTTATCCATCTACCCATCCACCATCCATCCACCCATCCATCTACCCATCATTCCATCCACCCTCCTATCCACCCACAGATCCATCCATATGCATTCATCCATCAATCTCTCCACCCACCTATCCATTCATCAATCAATTATTAATCTATCCATCATCCATCTATTCACCCATACATACATACATACACTCACCTATTCATTTATCCATCTACCCATCTATCCATCCACACACCCATCTATCCATCCATTGACCTACCTAACCATTATTCATCCACTCATCCATCTATCATCCATCCATCCACACCCATCTATCCATTCATCCATCTATTCATCCACCTGTCCATCCATCCACCTATCCATCCATCAACTCATCCATCTACCCATATATCCATCCATCCACCTATCCATCCATACACTTATCCATCTATCCACCCATCCATCCACCCATCCATTTATCCATTCATTTATCCACTGACCCATCCATCCACCTATCCATCCACATATCCATCCATCAACCCATCCATCTACCCATCTATCCACTCATCCATCCATTCATTCATCATCCATCCACACATCCACCCACCTATCCATCCACCCACCCATCCCTCTTCCTACTGGTTACTGGGTAGGACCCACATTAGAGAGATTTCCACCTGCCATTCTTACCCACTAAAATAGGCTGCCCCACACTGCATGGGTCTGACTTGAGTTCCCTGTCCCCTACACATGGGTTTGGATTTTCAACGGCGGCGGCTGGGGAGACGTGAGGGGCAAAGGAAAGGCGTGGAACACGACCGGTACAGGTGCTCTAGGTAATTGTTGGTTCTCTCGAGCATCCAATACTCCACCCCCCTTCCCCCCCACACACCTCCTGGCTACTTTACCTGCAGAACTGAACCTCCTGGTCGAACTGCGAGTTTTCGGGCTGGGTTCCCTCCTTCAGCTGGCTCACGTTGAAAAAGGAGAGCGTGTGGTTCACGAATCCGTGCAGGGTGCCGTTGTGGCTGTACGAGTACTGGTACACGAGGCGGGGGATGAAGTCCGAGGTGACAGCGATGACAAAAGCCTGGAGGGGGGGGGGACGGGGGAGAGGAAAGGGGAGGGAGGGGACAGGAACACAGACACAAAGGGCTCAGTCAGGATGGAGCCTTCTGGAGGCAGAGATCCGGAGGACGGCGATTGGAGACCAGGCCGAGAGACCTCCCCATCTCAAAATACAAGCTGCGTGTGGGTCACACCTGTCGTTCAAGCCATCAGGGTAGGATGGTACCAGTCCTGGGCCCCGGTTCTGTCCCAGGGCCTCTTCGTGCTCAAGGCCAGCGCTCTGCCGCTTGGAGCCACAGTGCGCCATTTCTGGTTCTTCTTTCCCCACCCCTGAGTAGTTTTATTGGGGCAGTCAGAGTCCCAAGGACTTTTCTTGCCCGGGCTGGCTTCGAACCCTCGAGCCTCTAGATCTCAGCCTCCTGAGCGGCTGGGATGGCAGGCGGGAGCCACAGACACCGACAATGCAGGGCCTGCCCCTGCCCCTGATCACGGTAGTTTCTAGATTGTTTGTCAAGGTACCTGTGGGTGTGGAAGGGCGTGGCCTTCTCTGAGAAGGAAGGACCCCACGGCGGCCATCAGAGCCGCACTGGCAGAGTGCGGCTTATACCCTGCCAATGTGCCCATCAAGTTCCAGAAGGACTGGAGGGAAAGGCTGGACCCGCTTTGTGGAGTCGCTGGCTCTTTCTCTCTCCTCTCCCTCCCTCTCTGTTTCCATCTCTTCTGCCCGGGGAACCTCCTGAGTGTGTAGGCCCGGATTACAGGCCTGCATCACCATACCAGGTCCGTTTGTCAAGATGAAGACATTCTAAATGCCAAGAGGTGAGTTCCAACACCCGTCCCCCCGCCCCCCCCAAGTCCCACATCAGAAAGGAGGGGGATCCCAAGGGAACACAAGCTGTGTCCCCCTCGAACCCCCCACCCCTCCCTCCCCTAAACTGGCAGATATTTTCTTGGGACAAGGAAGGCCTGGACCTGGCCAGAATTCAAAAGCAAGAGGTCTTGCTGGCTAGATTCCAGCAGGACTTCCTCTGCAGAGGTCAGGCCGGGGAGGATTTTTCTTCCCTGGGAACTGCCGTCTGGGAGGATAATTAAGACCTCTTATTGACAACCCCCAGGAGGAGAAGCCGCAATTAGGACGGAGTTGGGGGGGGGGTGGCTGGGAGCGGGTCCAGCTCATTGTTTTAATTGGGGAGGTGGGGGGGGAAGTAGAAGAAGAAAGAGCTGCCGGGGGTGGGGGGCACAGGGCGGAATCCTTTCCTCCTCGTTCTTGGCTGTGAGGACAGCTCCGTCTCCACACCAGAGGCCTCGCGGGCTGCGGCGGCCGGCCCTGCTGGTGCTGGTGGTGATGGGTAATTAATGACCTCGGTTGCTCTTAGGGAGACTAAGCATGCAATCCCAGAAAGCCGGGGGCTGAGATGTCGGGCCAGGTGGGGTGAATAGAAGCCCAAAGCCCTCCACGTGTGTGTGGAGGGGGGGCTGGGTGAGACGGGGCTGCCCCCCCAGGATTCCGGGGGGGGCGGGGAATCGCACCTCCCTCCCCCCTCCTCCACGCCCCCCTCCCCCCCTGGATGACCCAGCACCAGCACTCACGTTGATGATCACCGAGAACTTGCCAATGCCGGAGAGAATGTCGAACCAGATCCCTGCAGGGAACAGTAGGAAGGAGGTCCTGGGTTCCGGGCACCTGGGCGCCCCCCCCTCACCTGCCCCCCAACTTCCCCCCATCCACCCCCCCCAGCTCAGGTGTGAGGTTTGCGGGATACGTGGGCCTGTGGGGAGGGAGGGAAGGGGGGATCCTGAAAGGTGTGGGGAGCTTCAGCCTCCAGACTCCTCCCAGAGGGGGGGAAGGGGGGAGCCTGGGGAGGGGAGAGGGGGGGAGCCCCCCACCTTGACTTTTAAGGTGGCACCCCTGCCTTTCCAGGGACCACGCACCTATATCTTTGGTCCTCACGGCATCCGGCCGCCTCAGCTCGGTGACAAACTTCTTGGCGTCCAACCTGACCTCGATGACGTTGTTGAGCAGGGCGAACACGGGGGCCAGGGGGAAGGAGGCCACGAAGAGGGTGACGAACCCGAACTGGATGACTAGGGGAGAGCACAGGGCGGGGAGTCGCCATGGGGGGTTGGGAGCTGGCGCGGGGCGGGGGGGGCTGGTGTTCTCCCCTCCCCCTCCCCCCACAACACTTGGAGGTCTCCAGCTCCATCGCCCCCCCCAGCCCCCCACCCAGGGTCCTCAGGAGAAAAGCTCTGGGCCGGAGTTTGACAACCCACGACGATGTTACTTTGGAGAACAGAAACAAACACACCAACCAACAACACTTTCCGAGGTCCAGCATGGCGGCGGTTCAAACGCAGCCAAGGCAAAGAGTTAGCGAGTCTCTACACCTACCAGTCTCTATGTCTTCACCCCAGATGTCAGGAGGCCCGAGGTCGAGGCCAGCAAGGCCGGGGAGGCCAGATCCTATTTGACTATTTGATAAATAACTGAAAGCCAAAAGGACTGGGTGTGTGGCTCAGGCGGTGGAGCACCCATCTCAGACGCCCAAGGGCCCTGAGTTGGAGCCCCTCAACACCCCCCAAAAGGAACTCCCAGGTAAAGAAAAGAAAATCGTCCCACACTCTCACTCTTTAGATTCTATTTTATCTCATTGTGATGATTGTTGTTGTTAGGAGTATTCGTTTTCGTTTGTGAGACAGAGTCTTGTCGAGGCTGGCCTCGAACTTCAATGTCTGGAATTACAGGTGTGGGCCTTCCGGGCTGGGCAGGTGGCTCAGTGGCAGAACGCTCGCCTCGCATGCCTGAAGCCCTGGGTTCCATTCCTCGGCACCACAGAAAAAGCCGGAAGTGGCGCTGTGGCTCAAGTGGTAGAGCGCCAGCCTTGAGCCAAAGAAATTCGGGGACGGCACCCGAAGGAGACAGAGGCCTGGGTCCGGCATTTGAGGGGCCCAACGGTGGGAGAAAACTGTGCGTAAACAAGCACACGGTGGGGGGGGGGGTGTCGTTTTGTTTTTCCAAGAGAACAGAGAGACAGAGCTCAGGGTCTGCACGGGGTAGGGACTAAGGAGGGACGCTGTCAGGGGGAGACTTACGAGAGGGGGGGGGTACCACAGGGAAAGCCTGGATTACAGAGCTCTTGGGAAGGCATCCAGACTCAGCCCCGACCGAGGGGAGCAGCAGCAGGGACCACCTCCCAACTGCCCTGCAGGGGTCCCCCATCCTCCCTGGCCCCCCACAATTTCACGCTGTCCCCCGGGGACCTGTAAAGATGCCCCTGGACCTCTCCAACCTCCCCTGTGCAATCTCCCCCACGACTGCCCAGCCTCCCGTCTTGTTTTCCACCCCTTACCCGTGGAGCAAGAATCTGCTGTCTGTACCCCAAGCAGACCCCCGTGTGTGAGGAGAAGCAGGAAACCCCAAATCCTGGACCCGGATGCACATCTAGCCAGCCGTGTGCCTTCACCCGGGCCTGGGCGTTTACACAGCTCTGGCGATCAGTGCTGGGGGAGGGGGGTCCAGCTTCAATCTCCCCCCCCACGACCCTAGCTCTGGTTTGTCCCAGGGACCCCCCCCTCCCTCTGAGTCAAAGCTCCAAGATTCTAGAACATGCAGATAAAGAATGGAAAAAAAAAAGCCCAGACAGACCCAGATGGATGCATGGGTATGGGTTGACCGATAAGACAGAGGGAGAAGGCCATAGAGATGGAAATTTCCAGAAAAAAAAAATGCATGGGAGTCCACCCGACCAAACATATGTGTGTGTGTATGGGGGAGGGGAGGGGTTACTAGGGCTTGAACTCACGGCCTGGGCGCTGCGCCTGAGCCTTGGTGCTCCAGGCTGGCGCTCTACCCCTTGAGCCACAGTGCCGCTGCTTGGTGGCTCATTGGAGATGCGAATCTCACGGACTTTGGGGCTGGCTTCGAACCCCGATCCTCAGATCTCGGCCTCCTGAGTAATTGGGATATCAGGCACCAATCACCAGCGCCCGCCTTTGGTTATACTCTTGAGTGGGGAAGATCCACGCCATAATCCGCTCCTCCACGTAAATCACGAACCCCAAACTTGCCAGATCAGATGAGAACCATTTCCCAGGGAATACCAGCCTACCCCAGCCTTCACCCTCACGGCTACTTGTCTCTAAAATCAACCAGTCCCCCAGCGGGTTGAGAGCGAACACCGGAAACTTCCAGAATGGTACATAATCGAAGCCAGCTTGGCTTGACCAGCCACCAATCAGCACCTGGCCAAGCCAATTAGGGAGAGGAAAACAAAAAAAAAAAAATCCATAAATTGATTTCCAACTGGACCTCGACAAAGCCAGCTGTAAAGCATTCCGGAACACCGCTGGCTGGAAGCGGGCGTGCAGCCTGGCAAATAAAACGGTGTGGCCTCCCAAACTGTGCTCTTCTCTCTCCCTCTAAACCCCAACAGCCAAGAGCTATCGGAAATAACCCGCCCTGGCCCACCCATGTCCGGACACTAGGGCCCACTGGAATCATGGGTGATCATCAGGGCCGAGGTGAAAGGCACACGGAGAATTAAACATGGCGGCCTCCAGGGCAGATTTGCTGAGCGTCTACTTGGGAAAGGAGAATGGTAGAGTGGACAGACGTCTCCTGCAAACAGCCAGGGTTTGCTGGGAAAGATCGAGGGGGAACAAAGTCTGATTTATCGTCATCATTGCCTGGAAATTCTTCAGCGAGTTCACACACACACACACACACACACACACACAAGCCCAAGGTGTATCTATCCAAAGCCATTCTGATCTCCCAAAGACCCTGGGCCTTTTTTGATCTCAACTTCTTTTATTATTTTTTGGTCGGTCGTGGGGCTTGAACTCAGGGCCTGGGCACTGACGCTGAGCTCTTCAGCTCAACACAAGTGCTCTACCCCTTGAGCCACAGCGCCACTTCCGGTTTTCTGGCGGTTCCTGGGAGATCAGAGTCTCACGAACTTTCCTGCCCGGGGCTGGCTTTGAACTGTGATCCTCAGATCTCAGCCTCCTGAGGAGCTGGGCTCACCGGCGTGATCTCGACTTCTTTCCGAGGAAGTTTCCCCCAGCCGCTTTTCCTCCTCCCTCCTCTGGGGCTCAGGACTGACATGTTGCTGGAATGTTGGAGTCTTGCCCGGGGTCCAAGCCTTCCAAACCACTGGTGCATTTCTACCCAGGCCAGCTGGGCCACCGCCCTTCCCCGTGTTCTAACGGAATTACCTTTCTAGTCTTTTTGTGCAAGCTCAACTCCAAGGTAAGCTTCCCCTGGGAACTGTCTCTCCCCACCTTACAGGGGCCAGGAGGACTTGGGTGCCACACACACACACACACACACACACACACACACACACACACACACAGGCTTTGTTTATCTGACCCACACACCCCACCCCATGCCTCAAGTTGGATTTGACTCTTTCCTGCATCCTTACTCTCTCCAGTGAGGCCTGAGCAAATAAGCAGGTGCTTGAAGCTTGCCAGTTTCATAACTATAAGCTGACTTTTGCCAACTGTGAAACAGAAACATGGCGGGAGGAACCCTCTAAAATATATGAACTGAAAGCACTCTTTTTTTATTTTGGTTGGTCGTGGGGCCTGAACTCAGGGCCTGGGCGCTGGCCCTCAGCTCTTCAGCTCAAGGCGGGCACTCTACCACCTGAGCCACAGCACCACGTCCGGTTTTCTGGTGGTTCATGGGAGATCAGAGTCTCATGGACTTTCCTGCCTGGGCTGGCTTTGAACCTCGATCCTCGGCGGATCTCAGCCTCCTGAGTAGCTGGGATGCCAGGCGTGAGCCACAGAGCCCGGCTAAAAGCACTCTTCTTAAACAAGGTCGCTGAGACAAAAACCTGAAGACTTTGAAGAAGCTTGAAGCAAAGGAGCGCATCCAAACCGTGATGAAAATTATAGCTGTGTGTGTGTGTGTGTCCTGGGACTCGAACTCAGGGCCTGGGTGCTGGTCCCTGAGGTCAAGGGGGATAGAACCTGCTCACAAGGAGAGAATCATCTAACTAGCTGTCCTAAGGTCTGGTGACACTTCGTGGAGCTGTCTTGGGAGCTTCCTGGTTGTTCCGGGGAGAAGAAGAAATGGGAAAGCGGTATGCTTCTCTGACAAAAAGTATCTCCCTCCAGCCTCTCCTCCCGGCATCCACCTGTTCCTCCTGAATCCCAGGAAGGCCAGGGAAGGAGGGAGGGGGGAGGGAGGGAGGGAAGGAGGGAGGGAGGGAGGGGAGAGGGGCACCCCTCCTCCAAGGGGGAGCAGGCCTGCTAAAGCCCACAGAGGAGAGGAATTCCGCCTTCTTCCCAGAAATGCTGTGGATTTTTCCTGAAGTGTGTTCCCGCATCATCTCTGCGGGTATAAACAGGATGCCTGGAGAGAGGGATTCCTGGGTCCCAGGAGCCCCTGGCTTGGATTTGGGGGGGTGGGTGACACAATACATAGGCTCCCCCCGAGTGCTGAGGGCCGCACGGATATTCTAGAAGGTCTCATGGTCTGCTCCCATGGAGATCCCCGGCTCTCCATTAGCAGGGCTGGGCGGGGTGGGGGGGTCATTCCCCACCATGGCCTCAGGACCCCCTGCCATTTCCAGGGTGGGGATCTGGTCACCCCAAATGCCCCTCCTTCCCAGGCTCCCCACCCCATCTCTGTCTCTTGTCTCTTTCTCTGCTGGAGTCTGTCTGTGTCTCTTTGTGTTTCTCTGTGTGTGTCTCTCTGTCTCTGTGTTTCTGGCTGTGTGTGTCTCTCTCTATGTATGTCTCTGTCATCTCTCAGATGTCTTTTTTTAATTTTTATTTTCCTTTCTGTCGGTTGTGGGGCTTGAACTCAGGGCCTGGGCGCTGTCTCTTCAAGCTCAAGGCGGGCGCTCTACCACCTGAGCCGCAGCGCCACTTCCCGTGTTTCTGGTGGTTCCTGGGAGATTGGAGAGTCTCACGGACTTTCCAGGGCCGGCTTTGAACCCTGATCGTCAGATCGCAGCCTCCTGAGGGGCTGGGATGACCGGCGGGAGCCGCCGGCCACTCTGCCACCGCCATCGAGTGTGGGCAAATGGACAGGTGTGTCCTTATCTGGATGAAATGGCCACCCAGCTCCGTGGGGCAGCCAATCCGTGTGGCAGGTGTGTCTAGGAAGCGACTGCGGCCGGTTATGATTATTTCCTGCCAAATTCAGCCCCTCCCTGCAGACCAACTCCTGGTTGGTCCTGGCTCAGAACTGGGGAGGGGCTACCAAGGGTGGGGGGGGAGGCCTGGGCAGGAGAGGGAGGGAGAGGAAGCAGCCATCACCCCTTCTCCTTCTCCATCCCCTCCGAGATGGGCTCTGGGTGGGGATTCCCGACCCAGTGCTCACTTAAGACTCTCTCTCGGGGTAGGGGGAGAGGAGAAGGGTTTGATATTGGAGATGGGCTGGGAAGTCCCTGCCTTCCCCTCCCCCCACCCCGAGACCCCCCTCCCCCAGATCTGAACCCAGTAATCCTTCAAGCTCAGGTTTCCTTTGTCTGGAGTCCCTCCATCCATCCTCCATCCATCCTGGAGAGTCCCCTCGGCCCAACTCCGGCCCCCCCTGCCCTGCCTCACTTCCGGCCTTTCCCCTTTCCTCCCTCCTGCCTTCTCCTCCTTCGACCTCCCCCCCCCATCCTTCACCCCCCTCATCCTCCTCCCCACCCACCCCCACTCCGCCATCCTGGGCCCTGCGACCATGGAGAAGGATGGAAATGGAACTCCTCTCTCTCTCTCTCTCTCTCTCTCTCTCTCTCCTCCATGATGAGCAGGTCCGCCATTCCCACCCCCAGGCAGGAGTGGACGCTGGGCATGTCCGGGCTTCTGGCCTGCATGGGTGGTCCCCGGATCAGCTGACAGCTGGGGGGGGATTGATCTCCCGCCCACCAGAGGGGGTGGGCGGCTCTGGTTTCACCCTCTCAGGTTTGTTTCTCCAACCCTCCCCCCCCCCAAGGCCAGGGTAAGTTCTGGAACCTCTGGAATACAGAGGAGAGAAACTCACTCCCGTCCAGGCGTTCGCGGAGCCCCAGCCTCTGTAGGTCCTGCTGGAGTTTGCATCCCCCCCCCACCATCCTGGAATGATCTAGAAAGGGGATCTGGCCTGCAGGTCTGTTCATAATGAGCCACCGGGGTGGCTCCAGGAGCTCACATTGGCCCCCTATTTGGTTTGGGGGTGCACTGTTCCTCGGGAATGCATGAACCAACGCCCCAGCCCCGGGGTCTCCCGTGTTTATAAAACCCCAGCGACTCAGGAGACTGAGCTCTGAGGTTCCCGGTCCAAAGCCAGCCTGAGCTGCCAGCCTCGGATCGCCAATAAAACCACCCAAAAGAGCTGGAAGTGGAGCTGTGGCTCACGTGGTAGAGCGCCAGCCTTGAGGGGAAAAAAAGCCCAGGGACAGCGCCCAGGCCCTGAGTGCAAGCCTCAGGACGCTCTCTCTCTCTCTCCCTCTCTCTCTCCCTCTCTCTCTCTCTCTCTCTCTCACACACACACACACACACAGATTGCAGAGCTATCAGAAATCACGCAAAGGCCGCCAGGACTAGGTCTTAGAAACTGTCACCTCTGCCCCTGGCTGCCCACCTCCCTGAATCCAAATCACCTCCCTCCCCCGTCCCCCCCCCATGGGCTCAGAGAAGAGACAGCCTGAGAACTGAGGGTCTACCACGTGTCGATGTGTCTGCAGATCACCACAAGATAAGAGGCCATCCTGCCCGGAGCCCCCTCCCCTGCTCCCGTCCACCCCCCACCCCTGTCCCCCAACTCCACACTCCCCTGCTCCCGTCCACCCCCCCACCCCTGTCCCCCAACTCCACACTCTCTGCCTAACACCGGGAAGAGATGGCGGCTGCAAGAGTTCCCTCCAGTCTGGGATTCAGAGCCTGCTCACTTTCTGCCCTTTCTTTATTCTGATGCGCTCCTGACTCAGTTTCCCCACGCACACTTCCAGCCGGGCTTTGAAGGCTGCTGTGAGCCTCAGCCTCTACCCCCCCCCCAGCTATTCCCCAGAGTCGCAATGGTCAGACTCACGTTACACCTTCCCTGGGTGCTGCCTGACCTGGGGAGGGGGCAGCCACGGGAGCAGGAGGCCAAGGAGGAGGAGGAGAGAGAGAGGAGGAGGAAAAAGGAGGAAGAGGAAGCTAGGAGGAGAAGAGAGGAGGAGGTGGAAGAAAGAGGGAGAGGAGGAGGAGGAAAGAGGTAGAAGGAGGGAGAAAGAGGAGGAAGAGGAAGAGGAGGAGGAGAGAGAGAAGGAGGGAGAGAGGGAGGAGGAGAGAGGGAGGAGGAGAGGGAGAAGGAAAGGAGAAGAAGAGAGGAGGAGGAAAGGGAGGAGGAGGCAAGGAGGAAGAGGAGGAGAAGAAGGAAGGGAGGAAAAGGAGCAGGAGGGAGGGAGGAGGAGAGGAGGAAGAGGGAGGAGGAAGAGAGGAGGAGGAGTGGAAGAAGAGGAGAGGAGGAAGAGGAGGAGAGAGGGAGGAGGAGAGAAAGAGAGGGAGGAGACACAGAGGAGGAAAGACAGGGGAGGAGGAGAGGAGGAAGAGGAGAGGAAGAAGAAGAGGAGGAGAGGAGGAAGAGGAGGGGAGCAGGAGGAGAGAGGGAGGAGGAGGAGAGGAGAAGAGAAGGAAGAGGAGAAGAGGAAGAGGAGAAGAGGAAGAGGAGGAGAGGGGGAAGAGGAGGAGGAGAGGAGGAAGAGGAGAGGAAGAAGAAGAGGAGGAGAGGAGGAAGAGGAGGGGAGCAGGAGGAGAGAGGGAGGAGGAGGAGAGGAGAAGAGAAGGAAGAGGAGGAGAGGAGGAAGATAAGGAGAGGAGGAAGAGGAGGAGACGAGGAGAAGAGGGAGGAGGAGGAGGAAGAGGAGAATCACACTGGACACCCCCTCTCCTCGGCTGCCCCCAGAGGTCACCCGGAGCGTTCCCTAGTGGAGCGGTGGACGGTAGGGTCCGGAAAAGCCCGGATGCTGCCCTGGGCTTCCGTTACCAACAGGGCCCCTCGGGTGGGTGGACGCATGCGGGAGAGGAAAGGTCGGCGGAAAGCCAGGGCAGGGGGCTGACACGCCGGGGCAAAGGCCCGTGGATCCCAGAGCCCGGGGGGAGGATGCTCCTACGGGGCAGAGAGGAGGGAGAAGAGACACGCAGCCAGGCAGGCGCCCGTGGCTCCCGCCTGTCACCCCAGCCACTCAGGAGGCTGAGATCTGAGGATCGCGGTTCAAAGCCAGCCCAGGCAGGAAAGGCCGTGAGACGCTGATCTCCAAATGAACCGCCAGAAAAGCAGAAGCGGCGCCGTGGCTCACGTGGTAGAGCGCCAGCCTTGAGCACAAAAGCTCAGGGACAGCGCCCAGGCCCCAAGTTGGAGCCTCAGGACCGGCACACACACACACACACACACACACACACACACACACAGGCTCCATAGCTAGAAAGTCACAAATGCTAGAAACCCACAGGGTGGGAAACGCATGGAGAAATGCAAGGGTGAGCTAAATCCGGAGATGACAGTCTTGTGGACCTTCCCATCCAGGCCGGCTTGGGACGGCGATCCTCAGATCTCAGCCTCCTGATTTGCTAGGATGACAGATGTGAGCCACCAACGCAACACTCACAGAATGGGTACCTTCCCAGTCTACCCGACCCAGAAGCTTCTGCTTTTCAATCTACAGCATTTTCCATCCTATCTTTTGCGTGTATGTGTGTGCCAGTCCTGGGGCTTGAACTCGGGGCCTGGGCGCTGTCCCTGAGCTCTTCAGCTCAAGGCGGGCGCTCTACCACTTTGAGCCACAGCGCCACTTCTGGTTTTCTGGTGGTTCATGGGAGATCAGAGTCTCACGGACTTTCCTACCCAGGGCTGACTTTGAACCGCGATCCTCAGATCTCAGCCTCCCTAGTAGCAGGGATGACAGGCGGGAGCTACAAGTTGCTCAGCTCTGTCCTTCTCTTAACTTCCCTGCGGTACTGAAAGCAAAAACCCACACGTGAGGCTCAGCTCCCCAGCCCCTCCCTCTCCCTCCCCGCCCAGCCCCGGGTCTGAACTCCTGCCCAAGGGAAAAGAAAAGGTCCGCTTACTCATTTCCATGTACTCCGGGGTCAGCCCGGTGTAGGGCTCCAAGCTGTAGTCCAGGTCCCACTGCTCCGGCTGTTTGGAATGGGCGGGGTCCATCTCTCCCCCTTCCGTCTCATCTTTCAGCTTCCGAAAGAGTTTCTTCAGCTTCCTGGAAGGGGATCAGAGGGAGCAGCCGCTGAGATGTCTCCCGGAGGAGCAGGAGTTCTTCCCGCAGACAGAAGGGGTGAAAGGAAGCGGTTCTAACCCCAGTGGGTCCTCGCTTATGATCATGAAAGGTTCATCCTCGAGAAGGATCAGCCAAGGAGGCTGAGATCTGAGGATCTCAGCCGGGTGAGACTCTGATCTCCCAGGAACCAGCAAAAACGCCAGGAGTGGCGGTGTGGCTCAAGTGGTAGAGCGCCCGCCTTGAGCTGAAGAGCTGAGGGACAGCGCCCAGGCCCCGAGTTCAAGACCCACGACCGACAACAAAAGAGGATAGCAACAGAAATCCACAAAGAGTTCCCTTGCGTGATCACGTGATCGTACCCACAAAGCTTTCCTTTCAGAGATGGCTCAGCCTTTATTAAAACAAATCCACAAAGTCCCCGCGGACATGGATTTCAGAGGAACCTTCCAAACGATCTAAACCACAGATGGCCTGCTGGGAAAGCTTCAAACGATGATTCTGTCTGATGTACCTGCTCATTCAAATAACGCATTTGATGTCCCCTCCCCCTCCCACTGTCTGTCTGTCCTCCCCGCCCAAGATTCCCTCCTTTCTGTCCCTTTAAATGACGGGTTCAGAGACTCTCTGGAAGGTTCTGAGTTTTTTCTTCTCCCTCTGCTCACGAGATCGCACACCAGGCCACTACTTTGAAGCTGTTCCTTACAGATCTGGCTCCCAGGTGGGGGAAGGTTGTGTGTGTGTGTGTGTGTGTGTGTGTGTGTGTAAGAATCCGGAGGTACTGACATTCTGCCAGCAGAAGCTCAGGTTTACATGCCTGTCCATCTCAAGGTCTAACCACAGGGGTTCTACCTGGAGGAGAAATCTGGTGTTTGTGGGGCCGCCGGTTAATTCACACCAAAATTCCCAGGACGTCAGTGGCTGAGACATGAGGATCACGAGTTCGAGGCCAGCTGTCAGCTGAGTTACATCAGAAGACGAGGGGACTTGATCTCAAACAATTCCCTTTTCAACCGACCGCATGCCAATGGCTCATGCCTGTAAGTTCGGCCATGTAGGAGGCTGAGATCTGAAGATTGTAATTTGGAGGCAGGTAAACCTGTGAAACCTCTTATCTCCAATTAACAACCAAAAAGCCGGAAGTGGAACTGTGATTCACGTGGGAGAATTCTAGCCTTGAGCAAAAGCAGCTCAGGGACAGCAAACCCAGGCCCTGAATTCAAGCCTCACAACTGTCACACACACACACACACACACACACACACACACACACACACACACACACACCAAAATTACCCTTGTACAAAAAAGCCCATCTCTCTGGCTAGTAAAAAGCCCTATGCCCTGTTTGCTTCAATCGCCCCAGGAGCTAAACTTGAGATTAAATTCTAGCAAAGAATTAGAATGTGGTATAACATGATTTTGTGGACTTCAAAGCCTGAGGTTCAAAGTGGAACTCTGTGTGTGTGTGTGTGTGTGTGTGTGTGCACACGCACATGCACACCAGTCCGGTAGCTTGAACTCGGGGCCTGGCCACTGGTGTTCTACTGCCTGAACCACATCTCAAGCAGCTCATTGGAGATCAGAGTCTCACGGGCTTTCCTGCCCAGGCTGGCTTTGAACCGGGGTCCTCAGATCTCAGCCTCCTGAGTTGCTGGGATGACAGGCGGGAGCCACCGGCGCCCAGCACGAAGCATGGGCAGAGACGAATGTCACCAGACAGGGAAGCCAGTGGCCCACCCCTGGCTGGTGAGGCTCCTTCGAGACGATTCTGAGACTCACAGAAGCGACTTGTCCCCAGCTTGGCAAACTGCCCCCCATCAAACACACATGAGAAACATCCACCGCGCGAAGGCCAGTCCTCTGGGCATCGGCCACGGGGCTGGTCCAGTGGACGGACGCTGGACGTGCCAACACAGATGCCCAGCTCCCGCCTCGCCCTGCAAGCCTGGGTGCGGGGAGGAGGCCTGAGTGGTCGACCAGATGCCCGAGGGGCCCCCCAGCAGATGTAGCACGCAGGGTACAATCTGTCTGCCATGCTGTGCAGAGCGCAGCGGGGACGCATTGGGGAGGCAGGTGACTTCACCACATGTGTGAAGAGGGAGGGGGGTGGCGGGGGGGGACAGACGCTGCCCTCCCCTCCCCAGCTGACCACACAGCTTCAAAAGGAGCCAGATGAGGCCTTGGTATCATCTGGGTGTCCCCCGGATGGGGGTCCCCAGCTGCCTGTCTGCGCTCCTGCAGAGCGAGAGCCATCTGCCCGGCTCTCGGGCTTCACTTGATGATCTCCGGGTGCCTTGGAGTCCCAGACGCAGAGGGACACAGCAAAGCGTCTGAGACCAGAGTCCTTTGAGGTGGCGTCTAATTCCTTGAAGTAGAACTCATTGAGGAGGCTTCTCTTTAGCCGGGCGCCGGTGGCTCCCGCCTGTCATCCCAGCGACTCAGGAGGCTGGGATCTGAGGATCATGGTTCAAAGCCAGCCTGGGCAGGAAAGTCCGGGAGACTCTGATCTCCAATGAACCACCAGAAAACCAGAAGTGGCGCTGTGGCTCAAGTGGTAGAGCACCATCCTTGAGTGAAAGAGCTCAGAGATGGCACCCAGGCCCTGAGTTCAAGTCCCACGACCCAGAACAACAACAGCAAAAAATATGGCGTACATTGTGGCCTGGGCTGGCGGGCTCCTAGCACTGCCATTTTATTGGCTCTGGGTCCCCGAGAGGGTGGCGGGTGGGGGTCGCCTGAGCCACAGATGGCAGAGCCGATGGCAAACAAAGCTTTGCCCGTGAGGAGAGTCAACGGAGGACAAACGCCCAACGCCACACGGAGAAGAGGCCCAGAGGCCCTGGAAACCCTGATAGAAGTCTAGCCCTTCTAGGCTGACCCTGGTAACAGAGACAGACAGACAGACAGACAGACACAGAGACAGGGAGCAAGGGAGGGAGAGAGAGGGGAGAGAGAAAAGTTTATTATATAGGGATACCAATACCAAAGAAAGACGGAAAGAGAGAGACAGAAGAGTTTGTTACATACGAGACACCCATTTTACCAATCTCAGAGAGAGAGAGAGAGAGAGAGAGGGAAGTTCACTAACACAGGATGTCAGTCTGAGAGACAGAGAGAGAGAGAGAGAGAGAGATCGTTACCTACAGTCCGCCCATCTCGAAGACAGAAGCAACGAGACGGAACTAGAGAGAAAAGTTCATTACCTATAGGATGTGAATCTAAGAAGGCGAGTTTGCTATGGAGGAGATGACAATCTCAGAGAGAGACACAGACAGACAGACAGACAGAGCGGGGAGAGAGAGGCATTCATTACAGGCAGATGCCAATCTCCAAGACAGAGAGCGACAGAGACAGAAGGGTTTGTTACACCCAAGACGCCAATCTCACAGAGCAGGAGGAAGTGAGATTTTTACATACGGAATGCCAACCTCAAAGAGAGAGAGGGAACGAGAGAAGTTCATGGCATATGAATCTGAGAGAGTTTGTTGTAGAGGAGACACCCATCTGACAGAGAGAGAACCGAGAGAGAAGAGAGAGAGAATTCATTATATCCAGAGCACCGATCTCAAAGAGAGAGAGAGAGAGTTCATTCCATATAGGCTGTTGATCTAAGAGAGAACGAGAGAGTTTGCTGTGAAGGAGACGCCAATCTCAGAGACCCAGCTCTGCGGGGGACGGGGGGGGTGATTACTTACGGGACCCCGATCTCGAAGATGTTGTTCTGGATCAGCTGTTTCCCCAACATGATGATGCTGAGCTGGATGCAGAGTTCCATGAGGCAGCCGCCCGGAGCACACTGTGGGGTAGGGGGGAGGGACGGGCGGTGAGGCCCGGAGAGGAGGCCTGGTGAGTGAGGCCGGGAGGCCATGGGGTGAGGGGGGGTCCCTGCACCCAGGGTCCCGGGCATTCCTGTGATGGGGGCTTGGGGGTGGGACTGGACTGAGGGGGTTGGTTGTGTACCCCACAAACCTCCCGGCCAGACACAGAACACCAGGGGGTCCTACTGACCTCCTCCATCCGGTATCCGTCGAACACGTAGACGTAGCTTCCCGGCCTGCCCACAAACCTGAAATCACACCGTGAGAGAAAGATGGAGCTGGGGAATGGGGGGAGGTGCTGGGCGGGGCTGAGGGCTGTCTGTCCATCAGCCAGGGAGCAAAGGTCACACCCCACCACCCCCAATTTTCAGGTCGCGGTGATCTGAACACCCAGGGTTTGCTGTGGGTCTGTGGGGATGGGGTATACATATTCTTTCTTATTATTACTTCTATTGTTGTTGTTATTATTATTTTTTTGCCAGTCCCAGGGCTTGAACTCGGGGCCTGGGTGCTGCCCCTGAGCTCTTCAGCTCAAGGCTGGCGCTCTACCACTTTGAGCCACAGCACCACTTCTGGTTTTCTGGTGGTTCATGGGAGATCAGAGTCTCACGGACTTTCCTGCCCAGGCTGGCTTTGAACCGTAACCCTCAGATCTCAGCCTCCTGAGTAGCTAGAATGACAGGCGTGAGCCACCAGCATCTGGCTTTATTATTATTGTTGCTATTGTTATTGTTTTTACCCATATCCCCAGCCCTGTCACTTTAGTGAGTTTTCTGAACCAGCCTTGTGCTTTTTGACTGGGGTCACAGGGCATTCGGACCACGATCCTCCTATCTACCGAGAAGCCGGGCTGCGTGGCTCCTTTCTCTGGTTCACAGCCCACATTTTGACTTATCCCTGCCCCCTTGCCCCCAGAATGAAGGACTGACAAACTGAGAGGCTTCCCTAAGACCGGAAGAGGAAGGGATCTGGCGCTCTTCTGAGTCACAGAACCCCCAGCTAGTGGCTGTGTGAAATGCGGGCTGTGGAGATGACACCTTGAATCTCGGACATCAGCATCGACTCGTTGTGATACAAGGCCTCAGAGCCGCTGGCTGGACCTCAACTTCCCACTGGCCTCATCGATTCTTCTAACTTTCCCTTGAGGGCCCGGGGTCGGGGTCGGGGGGGGGGTTGTTGAGTCCCTGTGCTGTTTATTTTAGAGCTGAAGCTACTAGCCCCACCCCCACTCCCCACCCTATCGGGGTCTTAAATGCCGGGTGCTTTGGCTCCACCGTACCTGCCCTTGAAGAAAGCCACATAGAAGATGGGAGAGTAAGCATTGACAAACTTCAGCAGGAAGGCTTTGAGGATCAGACGCTCTTCGAACGTCTGCTCGGTCTTGGGAACCTCTACACAAGAAGAAACAAAGTCCTGGTGAGATTCTTCCCCAGGCCTGTCTCCCCGTGACATCTGGGGGGTTGGAACCATTAAAAAAATAATAATAGTGAAAATCGTTATTGTCTGTCAGTGGTTGTACCGAAAGAAGCCGTTGATGAACACGATACTTCTGGATCCACGCGCCCCCCCCCTTCTTGTCCACCCCTCCCCGCTCTCTTCTCGGTTTTCTTGTGTGATGGACGCTGGGTTCTGGACTGCATTTCCTCCCTCTTCTCCCCCCTCCATCCCTCCACCCCTCTCCCCTCACCCCTTTCCAGTCCCTGCCTCCTGACCGGTGCTGGGCTTTGACTTTGGCTTTCTAAGGAGTGACCACTAGGTGAGTTCTTCCTTGAATCTACTGACTTCAGTGTGTTTCTCTAAGAGCCTCTTTGTCTTTCAATGTAATCCCAAAGAGAAGAAAGGAATGTCTAAGTGGGTAAATGAGACCTGGTAAGTGCACAAATGACCAAGCGAGTGGGTGAATACATGAATAAAATCACCTATAAAATAAGTGACTAAGAAGTGAATGAAATCACACTGGGAAGAAGGGAAAAGTCCTGTTCCTATGGTAAAAATTCCTGTCATATTTCGTTTATCATTGTTTTTGTTATTGGTGGTGGTGGTGGGTCTTGAACTCTGGGCCTGGGCGCTGTCCCTCAGCTCTTCAGCTCAAGGCTGGCGCTCTACCACGTGAGCCACAGCGCCACTTCCGGTTTTCTGGTGGTTCCTTGGAGATCAGAGTCTCACGGACTTTCCTGCCTGGGCTGGCTTTGAACCGTGATCCTCCGATCTCAGTCTCCTGAGAATGGAGGATGACAGGCGGGAGCTACCTGTTGCCAGCTCCTGTCATAGTTCAGGTCCTTGGGATGGGCTCAGCTCTCCTGGGGGAAAGGAAAAGGATGTTTTCTGAGTGTAAGTCTAAGACCCAAGAGAGATTTGAACCAGTGTAGTTGGGGAGCAGTGGGGGGGGGGGTGTGGACAGAGGGACCAAGAGGAAGATATGGCCACTGAGCCAAACGAGAGACAAGGTAGAGGTACCCAGGGAAAAGTTTCACAAACTTCTACTGCAAAACCCAATTTACTACTCATTGCTAACCTATGTGACAGAAGCCACTCCGGACATTCACCTTTACACTAAAAACAAACTTTAAAAACATGAAAAGCCAAACCAAACCATATTTCCTTCTCCATTAATCCTCAGTCAAGATCGAGTGGAAGAATTCTGCATTCAACCTTGGGTGATGAGCTAACCGGGCACGGACAGAGGGTCTGTACGTGGGGCCCTGTGTTACCTAGGTTATACAAGCAGTAGATGCAGAGAGAGAGAAAGAGACAGAGACAGGGAGGATGGAGGGGAAGAGGAGGGGAGAAAGCAAGAAGAAAAAGAGGGAGGGAAGGAGGAAGGGAAAGATGGAAAGAAAACCTGTTCAATGCAATACTTTGAAAAAAGAAGAAGAAGGCAGAGGAGGAGGAGGAGGAGGAAGAAGAGGAGGAAGAGGAGGAGGAGGGGGAAGGAGGAGAAGGAGGAGGAAGAGGAGGAGGAGGAAGAGGAGGAGGAAGAAGAAGAGGAGGAGGAGGAAGAGGAGAAGGAGGAAGAGGAGGAGGAGGAAGAGGAGGAGGAGGAAGAGGAGGAGGGGGAGGAGAGGGAGGAGAAAGAGGAAGAGGAGGAGGAGTAGGAGGAAGAGGAGGAGGAGGAGA